TGTCGGTGTGGGTGTGGGTGTCGGTGTCGGTGTGGATGTCGGTGTCGGTGTGGGTGTCGGTGTGGGTGTGGAGTGTGAGTGTGAATATGGGTGGGGATACAGAATGAACACCCACACCCACACCCACACCCACACCCACACCCACACCCACATCTGGTTCCAACAGACACTGGTCGAAAATTCTACTTGTCATATAATTGAATAGAATAGATAAATAAAAAATATATTAATTATTACTGCATTTTCTTCTGATTTATTATGATTTTCGTTTATTATTCAAGTTTATTTATACGTTTTCACAACTCAAAAGAAAAACCAACAAGAAAATATTCATATCGTATATATTCAATTCTTTTATCTAGTGATTATTTGTGAGTTATACAAAAAAAACAAAACAACTAATTGAAATTTTTATTTGATTGTAAAAGAATTATATAGTTATACTTTGTGTGCATTCGAATAGTATTAGATTTTGCCTCGTTTTTGTTTCTAGTGTTAAAATCGATATTCTGTTTTTTTCTTTTTGCATTGTTAAAACTCTATTTTTCTATTTTAACATGCTATTTTGGTTTAATGTATTAAAGTGTTTTTAAAACATGACTTTTAATTTCATTGTACTTTATTAAATTCTTGAATTTGCTTCTTTTCTTTTCAAATATTATCATTATAGTTTTTTTTTACTCAAGAAATATATTGAGTATATGAAACATATCTTTGAAATTTCTTTGTTCTCTTGTATAACCAAGTCATCAATGTATTTTCTTTGTAACTTTTGGAAATCATTATGACATTATAATGTACTTGGACTAATGAAAATTGACCATTATAGGTTTTAGAAACTATGTTATAAATCACCTGAATTAAAGACAAATTCAGGAGACATCACCAAAAACAAAATGTGATATTCTTTGGATGAATTAATCAAAACTAAAATATTACATTTTGACTTGAAATTTTACATAGGGACAAGTCTTAACTGGAATAGTTTATTGTGAAAATTTTACCACAAAATAACGCATAGACTTAGGACATTTTTTT